CTTCTTTTTTTCTTTATTTTCTTCCCTATCATCTTTTTTTCGGTTTCGAGACATACAACACAACCCACCTGAGATACGGTCTGCATTGCGACATGGAGAAGGATGACGCCTTGTCTTTTCGCTTATCTTTTTCCACTACACTCACTGACGACGAGTCCAAATCTTTGTCATTTTCCTTGTCGGCAAGCTAGATGAGAATAGCATGAAGAATCAACAAGTTATCATCACCAACAAAAATCTAGTTCCATTTTAGAACAATAGAAAGAGCAGAGTCATTGAATGCGATGGAAGGAAGGGAGACCAAGAGGCGCTTATTAGAACCAAGGGTGCCGTATAGGCAGTACACTCGCCTCTCACAACTAGCGTGTTGGGTTCGATTACTAGACGCGGCATCACATGTGAGTAGGGTTTGTTGGGTCTCTCCCTCCATTCGAGGGTTTTCCTCCTTCCTTGTGTTAGCCCAGCGTGCCCTAGTCTTGATCAGCCCAGAGGATGTGTTTCAAGGCATCGATAAAATGTGGAGGTTTTTTTTACCTTTTCAATGGTTTCATCTAGCTTCTTCGTTTCATTCCTAAATACAAAACAAAAAGAACAAAGTGAAACTATTTTGCTTTGCTTGGTTGATATCGTAGAAGGTAATTTTCCACTCTGCTGACCAATGAATCTTTTGACCAATCACAGCGAGTCTTACGCTTGACTAGTAACTAGCTGCAGTAGCAGTAGCGGCAGTAGAAGTACAGTTGTATCAATCGCGTTATCAACAGCAGCGATAAAACAAAAAATATACATCGTTATATCGTCCTTTTTTACGAGGGCAACAATCTATAGCCAGTGGCTAACTAACCTATGACCCTAGTTCCAAAAATCGGAATTTAAAAGTAGAACAAGAAGAAAACGCCAACTTGCATACCTGCAAACTGTTTTGGACAAAATTTATAAACATGAAGAGTATCACCGCATTGCATTGCTTTGAAAAACACAAGACCTCACCCTTTTGACGCCTTTCTCGATCGCTTCCCTTTTGTTGCGGTTTGAAGAACCACAGGAGCTGGGCTCTCGCCATCAAAAGTTGCTAGCGAAGGGGTGAAAGTTGGTGTAGCTGAAAAGAAAAGCAAAGAATTTATATTTTTTAAATGTATCCTGGAATCACTATGGAATGCGCTGACAAAATCTTGAGACACGAAAAAAGTTATTGGTACCCCGATTTGATTGGAAATGAGGGTCACAGGACCCAGACTGAAAGTCCTAGAATAATACATACTCAGGCAAGTTATTACCTGTCAGGGATGTTTCGATCTGTTTGTACAGACATGTTATGTCATTTAGTCGTGTTAGGGTCTTCCCCTTCATCTCAGGATCGCCTTGTGTGGCAAAACCATTGATGAGCTAAGGGGCAAAAAATAGAATTAGCAAAAACTATGAAATAGCATAATCTATTTTGCTAGGAAGAAAGGAAGAGAGGGGTGGAATAAATGGGAGGGAGGAGGAAAGGATGGACAATAGGGAGGGATGAAGGGAAGGAGGGAAGCATGAAGGAAAGAAGGAAGGAAGGAAAAAACGAGGGAAGCAGGAGAGAAGGACGAAGGGAAGAACAAACGCAGGGAAGAATAGATGCAGGGAAAGAAGAATGGGAAGAATGAAAGAACGAGCGAACGAACGAGCGAACGATAAACGAACGACGAACGAACGATAAACGAACGAACGAACGAACGAACGAACGATAAACGAACGAACGATAAACGAACGAACGAACGAACGATAAAAGAACAAACGATAAACGAACGAACGATCGAACAAACGAACGATAAACGAACGAACGATCGAACAAACGAACGATAAACGAACGAACGAACGATAAACGAACGAACGAACGATAAACGAACGATAAACGAACGATAAACGAACGAATGAACGAACGAACGAACGAACGATAAACGAACGAACGAGGGAAGCATGCATGAAGGAAGGCGCAAGTGAAGCAGGAAGTAAAAAAGCGGAAGTAATCTTACCTCAATAAACCAGTTAACGGTGTAGAAGAGTGCTTTACACATAACCTCACGGTCAGCTTGGGCCAAAGTATTGATCTCCTCCAGCATATCAAACTTAAAGGTGATTAATGGACAACCTAGGACGAATAATAATACTTCAAATATTGCTAGGATGTTAACAAGAATGATGATATTCATTGAACCAGCAAATACACAAGAGATTGATATATATTCCATACGAAAAATGGATCACGGCAACTGACCAACCTCAATGGACAACATTTTTTGTGATCCAAGAACCAATATGTTTTCCAAATATGAAAAAAATTATCTTTTTTTCAAAATTCCAGTATAAAATTATTAGTTATCAGTATTAAAATAAAGATTTTAAGATAAAAACTGCAAATTTGGCATTAAAAACGTTTTTCGATCCGACGATCCAGTTAACCAAAGTCCAGTTCACTCCACGCATGTACGAATCCGGATTTTCCAAAATATAAAATCTCTCAAAATTCGGAATTTAGAAGCATGAATCGAATGTTACAGGTTGGGTATGTTTTTTCTATACTTAAACATTGTAAACTTTCTGTCAAAATCGAATATTTCAACATTTTTTTTTTTTTTTTGCAATTCAAGCAAGATCCAGTCATCTAACGTCCAGTCCAATCCCTTAGTCTACAGGATTACGGATTTTCCACAAGGAAAATAAATAAATAAAATTCAGAACTTAGGAAAAAATATCTTTTACTATAGGCAAAAACTAATTACAGCTATTTCCAAAAAGGTTGAATACTGAATACTGAATACTGAATAGTGCATTCCAAGACCAAAGTGCATTGTGGGTCTCGTTAATTTGAAATAAAAAGTAAATATACAGCAGTTAACTCTCTACATGTAGTTAGTAGTTTGTTTCAGATGGAATACACTAAAAATAGAATAAATAATAATTATTAATCCTACTTTAGACAATGTCACTATGACCGACAATGCACTTCGTTCTTGGAATGCACTATTCAGTATGCAGTATTCAGAATTCAACCTTTTTGGAAATAGCTGTATACTTCCTTAAAACGAAATATTCATCGATCAAATGGAACACACAGTAGACCTTGGTAACACATGAAAGTATTGACTAACCAGTGTGCGCAATAATTATACACTAAAACTCACCCAATAAGGCATCGATTCCTTCCAAGTCTCCATTATGTTGACTTTGTTCACAGATTCTTAACAAACGGAAATGAGGTGCTAAACATACCAGTGAAGCAACAGGAGGCTTGTCAAGTACAGACTGTGGTTTGGAGGTCGCAGCAGCAGCAGTCAATAATAACGGAAGGATGTTCAGTGCGATGCTACCTTCTTCAGCCTCGTCAAGTCCATAAACGAATTCAATAGGAAGAGTATCCCTGAAGAGGACAAAGAAATAAATAACGCGCAGCAGGTCAGAGCATTTGGGGTTTAAGACCTAAATACTCTTCTACAAGCTGCGGCCTTTCCATTGATTGAAACTTATGCGCAGCAACAACGCGAGATACATTTCACAGGAGGGAGGGGTATGACGGAAATTTTTGCGAAATTTGTCTTGCAACAGAAGCTTCACTTCATGATCACAATGCTTCTCGATAGCATGATCGACATCTACCAAATCCCTAACTTTGTCGAAACGGGAAATTGTACGATTCCGCACGTGTTATTAAGAAGCATTGTAAAGATCTGTCAAAAAGTATCACGACTTGAGAGGGTTAGGCGGTAGAACGTTTCGTGAAAGTTTCAGCTTGTAGCAGGGTAATAATCTTCATAGAAACTCATATGAACTAAAATTTTTACCCAGGGGAAGCTTTCAGGAGCTAAAAAATGTTCCTTTATGGAGTTTTAATTTTTAATTTATGTATGATTCAACCCTCTTGAGTTGAATGGTTTCAAACAAATGGACCCACCACCCATCCCACTCCACTCCCCTGAAAAACGGCTGGCTGCCTACACCCCTGGAATTAACTTGACTTACTTTGGTAAAGGGGCATCTCTGTCAACAAGAAAATCTTCTTGAAAATCAGAAACAACAGTCTCACTGATCCAGTTCTGTGAATAAAAGTGAATTTATCGTTATAGATAACATTGATGAATGACTTAAACTCAGGTCAAACTTCGAACTTCACACGAGCCGTACGCATTGAAAACAATGGATAATAAGACGGTCTTCATTTCATTAGGTTCGGCTCATGTGAAGTTCGACGTTTGAACTTAGTCTTAGACCATCGTGTCATGCTCTGTTCAGTAAAAACAGCCGGATACATGACTGCACGTAAATAAGAGACGTTTTTGTATTAGCCATTCCGAGATTAAGGAAAAATTGGCTCGAGTTGGCATCGCATTGCTGTTTCAGGGGACGAAATAGACGCCATCTTGTGAATGTCTCCCACAACGATTCCATGATGCACGTCAATGTCAACTCGACCCAGTCTTTCTCTCAACCACGGTATGGCTAATAGGGTTGACAGGTAATTGCAATTTCTAAATTTTTGCTAACCTTAATTTTCCTGTCTACATCGCCCTGTTCAATAACTCTGGTCAGCTCATCGTAGAATAAGGCAGCCGCTTCAGGGACTCGTGCCACACTCGAACGAACCATGTCAAGCAAGTTCACGATCTAGTAACATTCAATACAAAATAAAGCGGTTTATCAATACTTTGAAACAACGACTATCAAAGTCAGGACAAGGCCAACTTACAGGTCGAATTTAACGTGTTAGGTTTTGCGGAGGGAGGAAAACCGGAGAACCTGGAGAAATCCTCGGAATCAAGGAATAGACCAAGAAAATATATAGGACACAGTTTTAAGAAAAATCACTTGCCTGTTTGTAAATATCGTTGCTAATCGAGGAAAAGAATTGGGAAGACGTTGCGGCGTTGTCATCATCAGATCTATGAAACATTAAATAGCAATACAGGATCAGAGGAAGCATAAAATGTTACAGTTGATCTCTCTCGTAAGCGACCACTTTGGTATGAGAACTGGTCGCTTAAAGGAGATGGTCGCTTAAAGGAGATGGTCGCTTACGAGAGTGGTCGTTCAAAAACAGGCAGTTGTACTTTAAATAGATGTGATTATACTCATGATTGTAAGCTGCACGGTCATCCACTGGTCATAAATGTAAAGCGCATTGAGACGTTATGAAATGCGCTATATAAGAACCTCCCATTCTTATTGTTGTGATTCACAGGTGTCAATCAAAAGTACCTTTTTCTGGCCATACTGCGGACAATCATGACAGCCCCAATGATACCTATTCTTTTATATCTGGAAAATATAAAGAAATTTAACGTCTTTTGGTGTAATTYAACGACATGAAAAAAGCAACCATTATTTGAGCCTTTGAATATCGAGGAAAAAAGATTTCCTCTTTATTGTGGTCACTTTTGAAGGTCATTTGGGAATCAAGGGTGACATAGTGGTATCGCACAGCATCCAATCACAACTTGTGAACCCATTAAAATCTCACCCATACTTACTTTGGGCAGCTACTGGATAGCTGTTTCCTGATCACAATATGCACATCATCCTAGAATTGCCGAAAGAAAATTAAAGTCATTAACTATATGAAGAAAGGGAAAAGATGGAAGCAGGGATGGGATGGGATGGGATGGGACTGGATGGATGGATGGATGGATGGATGGATGGATTGGTGAGTCGATAGAGAGATGGATGGGTCCATATGAGGTTGGAAATATGGATGAGATGGATGGAATGAATAGATGGATAGGATGGAAGGGAAATAATAGAATGACTGACGAACGGATGGATGGATGGGTGGGTAAATAGATGGATGGACGGATGGATGGATGGATGGATAAAAAAAAACAAGGAAAAACCTATAGAAATAACTTATAGTAAGAAGAACATATTAAAGTACAGTACCTGTATCATGGCACCGTCCCGTGGGCTACTGAAGGCAAGAGTGCTCAGCATTGAAAAGACCTTTCTGATTTGACTCAGTGTGAGATTGTCCAGGTAATCCAGAATACCCTAAAGAAGTGTTTATCTTACTCAAAGTCGTAGATAGGAATATATAAAGGCACGAGCATCTCTCAGGTATGATTTGAAGCCAAAATAATTGTTTCTTAATATTATCCCAGCAGTAGTTAACGTCATTTAATGTCATGCACGGCAGTCACTCTCTCGTTACAAAAGTTTCTGAGTCAGTATTGTGAAAAGGGTTTCGTAACAAAAACTCCATTGATTCTCATCATCATTTTTATCATCATCATCATTATTATCATCACCATTATCATTATATTATCAATATCATCATCATCACCATTATCATTATATTATCAATATCATCATCATCATCATCACCACCATTATCATCACCACCACCGCCCTCATTCTAACGACCATAACCATCAGAATCTTAATCACTGATAAAAATCTGATATTCGTGTCAGCCCTTTCAATCGCGTGCATAAACCTGTCATACCTTGATAAAGACAGCAAAAGGAGCCATGATCTTAGGGTGTGTCTCCACGAGGTCTGATAACACATCTAAAGAGGAATCAGCTTCAGTTGCGAAGCCACTACCGATATGAGTCACCAGGGCACCTACGATTTCCTGTGAAAACATCAACTTAATTTAACTAAATTTTCTAAAACAACCTCTGCTCTGATCTAAGTCAGTGCACGGATTGATCAGATAAGAGTTTAAAGTGCTTGGTTAGTGGAGGGAGGAAAACCTTACTGAGAACCCAGTAAAAAAAATGAAATCAAGAGCAAGACCTACACTTGCCCCAAGTCCATATTTTATATTCGAGCGAGAACTCGTTGAGCGCAGCGAAAAAGTCTTTGTGAAATTCTAAGCAAGACCCAACAATTTTTTTTTTCACATGAAATGTCGAGTTCAGAAATAGAAATAGCTGCCAGATTTCTCAGTTCGCGGGGTTGTTACGCAAAGCGTCAAATGAGTTTTCAGATTGAATTCACATAGCGTCCTAAGTATAAGTACACTAGTCCAGTTCGTCACTATCTGCAATTGAGCAGGCAAGGATGAAGACGATTTACAAAACAAAATCGTTTTCTTATTTTATAAAATTCTTTCACACTTAGTTAAAATCATTTTTTATCTACGCGATGGAACATGTAGAAAGCCATTGCGTCGACAAGCCCGAAACTACTTTTAAGACTTTCGTTCTGTGAAGATAACGGATGTGAGATTTCACGAACTTGAATGTGTTGCGTAGAATGCAATGCCGGCGTCAAAGGTAAAAGGAAACAATTGGATGAAGGGTTCAGACCGAAAAACCGAAAAAAAAAAACACGACGCAGCAACGGCTGCATCAACGAAAAGGTCGGCAAACACAAACAAAAGAAAACGATGTCTATTTTTTCATGCCACAGTGCATAAAACCACACCACACAATCCACGACTCTCTATTACTGGTGCATTAGCAGAATATAGGTGCCTCAATAAATTAGTCATACGAGCGGCTCCACAAAGAACGGAGTGCTGTCCCTAAGTCACCTGCGCACGCGTGCCGGCTTTCGGCAAAACTGTGCTCTATCAAAGAGCAGAGTACTGTGCCCAAGTCATTTGCGCGCGCCTGCCGGCTTTCGGCACTTCCTGCGTGACGTATTACTAAACAAAGCACGGAAAAAGCTGTTGTATTTCTAAATCTTAGAGTATGAAAATAACTTTCACAGCTTCGAGAGAGAGAAAAAATCTGGTCTCAAAGCCTCAAATAACCAGACATCTTAGAAAATAGAAAGAAATTTTGGAAACTCGGCCACATTTTTAGGCGAAAAAAAAGAAGAGAAACAAAACAACTGACGTTTGACGTCACAAATTCCATACCTGCTTGCAGTAGAGATCAAAGGATGCGAAGGCGAGCCTGTAAATAGCGCATGCGTATGAAGAAACAGAGGTCTCCGGGGATCTCAGAAGCACTTCACCAAGAGACAGTAGATTGCTGAAGTACTCGCGTAGAATCTGCAAACAAACAAAATAATAATAATAAATTTATAAGTAAATTATAGATTATAAGCCTTTAGAATTTTATCTTTCTGGCACCTGCAGATCCCCTATAGAAGGAAGATTTTTTCGCGTTAAATTTAATTGAATATTACTGTACATGTAGTTCTGCGCACGCAAAGTTGGAACAACTGCTGCCCATCATGCCGACATTGTCCCAGTACAGCTGTTTTGTGACACCAATGTTGCAGAAAAAGTCAAAGGTAAGCAGTCATTCAGATTAGGGCCTGCGCATTAATTGGCAAAGATTGGCAAGTCACAAAGAAATCGCTTCTAAAATCTCTAAAGTTACAGCGCGCAACTATGGTACACTTAATTTAATACATTTTCTCAACAAAAATTTTTTTAATTTTTAAAAGATTAAAAACAAAATTGCGGCGATTGAGACAAGCGCCATGCTAGGGATGTCCTCAAAAGACAGATTACTATATGTGATACTCCTCTAAAATCTCTCGCACGAGTAGCTCTCGTGACCACTAAGCAAGTAAAGTATACCTGATTATGTGAATTGAAAGCTGAGGAGAGCATCTCCTCGGTAAAATGGCCAACTTTGATTTTATTTCTGAAAAGACTCTCTACTGTCTTTTTGCGGTTACCAGTAGAATGAAGAATGAGAAGGACAAAGAGATCGATGACCTGAAAAAAAAACATCAAAACCGATTAAAAAATACATATGCATGTATCAGCAACAACATCAGCCAAGCTATTGCAGCAACGACAACAATAGCTATAAAGATGCTCAAACAAAACTGCAACTAATAAGAACTAGGACAACAACAACAACAGCAGCAGCATTGACAATAACAACAGCAACGACATCAACATTAACAGCAGCAACAACAATAACTGCGAAAAAACTGCAACCAATAAGAACAACAACAACAGCTGCAGCAACATTGACAATAGCAACAACATTGACAACAACATAAACATCAACAGCAACAGCAACAACAATAGCTGCAACAATGCTGCAACAAAAATTGCAATCAATACGAACTATGACAACGGCAACAACAGTAACAATAACACGACAGCAGCAGCAACAATGACAGCAACAATATCAACTGCAACAATGAAGCTACATAAATGACAACTGTAATAACAGTAAAACGACAGCAATGACAGCAAAAGCAACTTTTAGCAGCAGCAATTGTCGCAACAAAAACATCAATAACAACGAAAAGAGAGAGCTACAGTAGCAACAACAATGATAACAATACACACAATAAAACACAATGTTGATATGAAATACATAAGAATGCTTATGATGGCATACCTTATGCAAAGCTGCAGAGTTAACAGATTCTATGGCCTGCAAAAACAACAAATTGTTTAACAAAAAACTATAAGATCAATTCAAAGAGCAAAAAAAAATAATACATTGATTACCTTTAACCAGCCTTCTGCTACTGACTTCTGGAATCTGATACCTGAGCGTATTGCATCTAGAGTCAGCAGTTCTCCATCTTTATCAGCACTGGCTGAAGCACTAAAAACAAAAGCTATGAATATTAATCCTGTCCATACCTCTTGACCTTGGAGAATGTGACCCCATAGTTGCCATGTTGGATAACTCAGGCCAAGATTTGGCTAAATTTTTTTCTTTTTCGTTTTTTCATTTGTTTGTTGTTGTTGTTGTTGTCGTTGTTGTTGTTGTTGTCATCATTTTTTGTTTTGTTTTTTGTTTGTTTGTGTTTTTTTGTTCTGTCATACAACATGGTAACTACTTTCTTCCTTCATCTTTGGAAATATAGTACTCTAGAAAGATTCCTGCCAAACCTTATAAAAATAATAATATACCTACCCCTCCTGTCTTGGATTTAATGGTGTAGAGGATGACTGGGGAATCAAGGAACCGAAGTCCAGGTTCATTCTCAGTTCACTTATGACCTTTAAGAAATGAAGTCATCTTTTTAGTAGCTACCTTTCAAAAGGGGGGGGGAGGGCCGGAGAAACAAACTACTAAAAATTGGCTTTAATTGTTAATCCTCTTAAAGCCCTTTTAGATGTTAGAACTTCTTTCAGCTCTTGCAACAGCACAACAGTTTTGCAAGACAAGTTTCATAAAGGATGATGCTACTTGGCATAAATTTCTTGTGAAACTTTCCAAACTTGCAACAAGAGTTTCAGTTGTGTAATAAGTAACAAATGGATTATACAACAAAGACTTGTGCAGTCAACTCATTTTTTGGGGCACTACAGTTGCATGAGTAGAAAAAGTATAACTCTTAAACCTAATGGGAATCACTGTACATGTAGTATGAATGATAAACTACAATTAATACCTCAAAAGCATCATTATCTGATACAGACTGTAAGATAAACTTGGTAACAACAGGAAGATCGTCAAGCTCAGCTGATGGCAACATCTGTAACACTGACACTCGTACCTAAATTTGAGTTTTCAAAAGACAAACATGCTGTTAAATGCTGTCAAAATAACAGACTTTTATCATGTTCGAACATGGTTATACCAACCCATAAGAATAAACAGCTTTGTTTCTGTAAGTCTAAAGTATTTTAAAACTTATTCAGGTGTGCTTGAATGTGAGGCTAAGAGGGTAAAATCTATTGTCACATACAGCCATGTGAGAAAGTCCTTCTATTGAAAGTTCTGATGATCACATAATGTACATAGAATAAGAAATGGGTTGTTATTGATAGACATCACTTCTGGTCTTGCATGGAATTTTTAACCAGCTGAGTAACAAGTCTCCAATAGCAATGATTAAGCAATACTGATAAATAAAGCATTTGTATAGTACTCCTTAACACAAGTTAGCAAACACATACCTCAGCTAGCAAATCTTGTCTCAGATTTAGGTTTGATAAAGCATATAGGATTGGTACAGCAAGGCTTGTGTTTTGTAGTAGAAGCTCCCTGAAAACAACAAAAACGACAAATCAAGCCTAATTTCCTGCAATTACTGCTAATCCCAAACCAAAAAGAAGGTCAACGGTCCATCAGTTGCCAGTCAAGATCACAAGCCAAATTAGTTTTAGCTTAGTCATACCTCATTTCTGGCTAAACATTACTGGTCAAAATGACCGGCAAAGCAAAGATTTGACCAGACAAGTCCCAGTTCAGACCAGATACTGTCCGATGTCCGACCATTATTTTAAGCCCTGAAGGTTCCTTGGGAACCATTCCAATGGTACCATTGGTATCAGTTGCTCCTTCCACTAACCTTAACTGCAGAGCCACTCCTGTGTGTTCAGTGTCATCTACCACCTCAGGTAAGCAGGTAATGATCTCATGTTGAACATCAGGAGATGTTATGCTCACCATTTCTAGCATCTTCTCTGTTAGTTCCTATTATAGCACCACATGATTTTAAGGTTAAAATGTTCAAATCAAACTGGATTCCTCAGTGGTTCTTGTTAAATTTGTATTCCCAGACATTGGGAGATTAGGTTCAAAATTAGGCGCTCACTTTCCAACATACTGTATGTCTAACATGATTTTCTTACATGATAAGATCATCATTTCTTTTAATGAAACTGACAACCTGGAAAATCAAAGATGTCAAGTCTGGCTGTTGAATCTAAATCTTACCTTGCTATTAACAATTCTGTCAAGCCATCGGAACTGGTTCATAATAAGCCGAGCAGTGTTAGTTTCACCATTATTTGACCCATGTCTGCAACACAAGGTAAAATACCATTATTATCCATGCATCATGATGGTCCATATTTACGATATTCCTGCACATCATCATCATCACCATCATCAGCTATAATTTTATTGTAGAAGTTGAAGTGATCCTTACCCATTCTCATCACCCATTAATTCGGGTAACTTCTCTAGCAGCATGTTGGCAATTCTTGGCTGAAACATTTTTTTAAAAATTAAAACAACTTAGTATTACTCCTATTGAATTATTTTTCTTTTCTTAAATGTAGTTTATTCTTTTCATATCATTACACTTTCTATTTATAAATATATTTATTACTACTAGTATTCAAATTATCTTATATGTACATTGTCAGGTAGCCTTTCATGAAGGGAATTACTTCCTGTTGGCTTTCCTCAAATGCTGCAATATGCATCTGTGTTGAAAACTATTAGACTAAAGCCTCACACTAATGACACCATTTTTACCTGTAGAAGGTCAATTCCTAATAATATCCGAATCAAACTCTCTTGGTTGTGTCCATGAATGCTAAAGAATGAGACAAAATTTTAGTGCTTAAATGAATTTACAAAACATGATGACATAAACAAATGGCTTCTAAAGTGCCAAGAACAAGCAACAGAATGGGCCGTTTTCACACGGCAGCCATGTTGGTTTGCACAATAGATCCATAAGAATAGCAAATTCTCATGAGAATAAACATGGCTGCCATGTAATAAAGGTCTGCTTTTATACTGCAGTTTGTTACTCTGATATTGTAAAAATTATCAATTAGTCACTAATATTAGTACCTTCCTTCGCTCTCTTCAGCAACAAGAATGGGCAAAAGGCTCAGGCGAAATCTATGGAAATCAAAGAATTCAGAAATGTAATAAGTACAAGCTACTTAATCTACATAAAGCAATCAAGTCAAGGCATGAGAAAAATTGGACAAGTACAGTTTACAGTACCTTTCAGGGGTTTCAGACCTTTTTTGCAGACTCTCAACAAATTCTTCAATAACCTAAGAACATTATCAATGATATAGAACACATATACATGTAAACATCAAATTCCTGAAGATTTCTAACCCATTCAGAAAACCAATCAAATCACTTAATTTCCAACTATAAGTACTAAAATTGAGACTCATATTTGCATCCAGAATTCAATGAGAAGGCTTAAAATAATTGCCAGACATTGGACAATGTCCCCCAGAACTAGGGCTTGTCCTGTGAAATCCTTGCCTTGCTGGTCATTTTGACCAGTAATACTTAGCCAGAATTGAGGTATGACTAAGCTGGAACTAATTTGGCCAGTGATCATGACCAGCGACTGATCAGCCATTATCTTATATGCATATACATTATATATTACGCCCTCATGAACTCCACCTTTGGATAATTCTGATGGCTTTTAATAGCAGCTGTGAGTCTCTTCTGAAAGATTGGCACATCAACACCTGAACAATAGAGGAAAACAATACATCTTACTATCAATTAAATATTACACATGCAACCTGAATTAGTTGTCTCATACGCAAAGAAAAAAGAAAAAATGGTGAAACTTGAGTCCTAATATAATTTAATATTGGGAGATTTTCTGAACCCTTTCAAAAAATACAAAAAGTGTGGACATGTCTAAGCCAACTAAAAAAGACTTGGATCGTGAAGTTTATTAAAATATCTTTCGCTATACAAGGAGTTGGGACTGTTTGCAATCATTGTTYGACAGAAAGTATAATTATTACTGTAAGTACATTCCAGTACTTTTATCAGAGGAATTTATCATTGATGAGTTTGACTGTAAATTATAGTCTTCAAGCAGATTGTAGTTCCAGAAAATATCGATATCCCATTCATAGAAAAAATTGGAAATTCTGGAGGAAGTTCCTGGGGGTAGAGGGTCCTCTTATGAATTCCCTCTGTGGTTGGGGTATGGATATTTTCTGGATCTACAAATTACCTATTTCATCTTGGCTGTCATCAGAATTTTTAAGGAAGATTCCTGCATTAGCAACAAGTTGATCAAAGCCTGTATTATCAATATCACTTGTAATGGATTCTGTCTGTCTTCCTTTCTTTGCTGGGGATGGGAAGGCACAATCGATCACATCAAAATAAGAAACACAAATTCCCCACCCTGATTAAGAGTTATCCTGGTCAAAGTGCAACACATGAAATCAAGACACTTTTACATGCACACTTAAAATTGGGACAGATGGGCTTTATGTGTTAGATCTTGTCATTTTATAATGTCATTTTATAAAATTATCTGACAATCATATAATTATTTTGCTCTTGTCACCTCTTGTTCACCTGTCTCCCTCCCCCAGCCCATTCTCAACCCCAGAGACCTGTCATTCTTACTCTGCATGCTCAAGTAACATGCCACTCTGGAAAACCCTAGCACACTGCATCGAGAAATCTGGCTACTTGAACTGTAGTGCACATACTCAAATTTGAATTATAGTGCAAACACCCCAATTAAACAGATTATATTTTACTTTAAAAAAAGCTGTTTTTATGGTAGAGCACTGTCATATTATTGACTCTCAAGGCAATTCTTATCTTTCATTGCAAGGGCTTTTGTGACTGCTTGCACGCTTGCACAGTTCCTCGATCAATTACCACAAGAAATATTCTAACCTATCACAGCTCTGAGTTGTCAAGAGTCTATGCAATTCATTGAGCATGCGCAGTACAAATGACAGGACTTTGGGGTGGAAAGTGCTCTCCAACCCCCTGGGGGGGGGGGTACTCCCATATATGGATTATACGGGGATGATCCGCTGAACAGGGTATGGTTTTTCGAGCTTCTTGTCATAAACAGGGTATGCAATTTCACTCAAATTGGAAGTTCTTCCTGAGTTTCCTGTCATATTCAAGGTTTCTACTTTCGTATTGACCGAAACTGGTTATTATGGTCGTAAAAAAACGA